AGATTTGCTGTACTGCACTTCAGTACTTTTAAGGTTCTGTTGTTTACTTTAATGTACTACTCCCCTGTGCTACTTTTATTTAAGCAACTTTGTAAGATTTGAATTTTAGATCTTAAAATCCTGAAGTCCTTTCCTTGAATTTAACATATGGGGGAAACAGCAGATGGATCGTATGGAGTGAAAATGAACTCCGTACCTATAAAAGAATCACTGACAATCTCGGATCTCCTTCTCTTTGTTTTTCCAGTATGGTGAAATAAAGTCCCTGTTGGAGTTGCGTCCCAACCTGCTGACTAGAGAATGTTCTGGATTCATTGAACCGCACCTGAAACCCAGACGATAAACACACCTGGAAACACCCCTGAAGCCAACCCTCTGATTCTGTTGTAAATCTAAATTAATTCCTGCTTTTGCCATCGACAGTTTAACCTCAGAGATTTATATTGTTACATTAGAGCTCGTTTTCCTGCTGTAAGAGAAGATATTCAGTAGATGTAGATAACAGGCCTACTCGTGTCTGTAGCACCTCAAGGTCTTAATACTATATGTAAGCTGGGCTTTGCAAAATATGCTTAAGCCAAACTTGATGTAATTTACTCTACAATGGTTTATTATCTGCATTCAGTGTTTCTAACACACAATTAAACTGATGTTTCTTCCATAACAGTTCAATAAAACACAGCTTTGATTTTCTTGCAGAGATTTGTAGGAAACTAAAGTTTTGATGAAGTTGATTCAGGCTGTTTCAGTGGTTTTAATGACCTGAAGTACCCTTCTACAGTACTCTCTGATCGCTTTCATCTGAGTTGGTTGAAGTGGTTGATTTGCTGCAGTTGAACTCACTGATTGGAGAGTTTAAAGTTTGGAGAGTTAAAATACTATAGGAGTTGATTATGTTCAGGATTTCTTTGACACCCTCTGTACAACAGCCTAGCCATGGAGCAATACATAAAGATCTAATAAAACCTGCTCAAATCCATTCAGTGTCAGTGTCTTTGTCTTTTTCTGTTGACAATTTTCTGAATTTATGCAGCAAATGGTCACCAGGGACTTCTTGTGAAGTAGTTTTTACAGTAAGTTAGTGCCTTAAATGGCTTCAGTGCAGAAACAGGTGAGCACAAAGCTTCTGAGACACATTTTGGATTGACGTAAATATTCATATCCCTGAATTTTCTGCATACTTTATTGTTTGATATAGATGTGATTAAAAGTGGATTTCATTTACTTTTTAAGTCATCAGTCTATACACAAATATGTTACAAGCTAAAACATGCTTGTAAAAATCTTTACAATTGTTTTTTTAATTAAAAAAGTGAAACCATTTGTTATGCCACTTTAAATTGAGCACAAGTGCATCCTGTTGCTTCCTGTCTGTTTTTATTTTCCTTGAGATATCGTTAGAACCTAACTGGACTTGATGAACAATAAATTGACTAGTTTTAATCCAACAACCTGCAGCTGCTGCTGTCTTGTCACTGTGACTGGTTTTTGTTTACAGTCTTAGCTAGATCCTATGATTTAATCCGTAATTACAGTCTCATCATAAGTATTTTAGAGTTTTCTTATTTTTCAACATTAATTGCCACTGAAAATATATTTCACACAAACACTTAAACAGTATACATGTCATTAATCATCACCAAAAAAACATAACAAATACATGCTACTGAACTGTGTTGCACTGTTGCTGACCATTTGCCAGCACTGAAAAGATGCTTTTGAGCTAGAAAAACATGGTTTTGAGCCTGTAAAGTCCCCCTCCAGTGAAAATATGTTTTTGTTCTTCTTGTTCCTACAGTTGTATGTGCAGAGTTTTGACACTAGTAGGATGTTTTCCCATTAAAGCCACCAGTGCACAAGAAAAGACTTCACAGTGAAGTAGGGGACATCTTGTGTCCAGCAGGAAAGCTACAGAAATAAAATAAAATTACATATTCACAGATTCTGAAATTTTTAAAGAGGTAGGAGGAGTAGACGCCCTTTTAAGGATTTTTTAAAAACTGGCCTGTAGAGCTAATCCTGATGACGGGACAGTAGACAACAATGCTCCAAACATTAATGTTGCTGCAAAGAAACCACAAAATCTATTCGACCAACTGGAGAACATGGCCCCAATCTTCCCATCTGGTGTTGGTGTTCTTCATGTCACAGTCAAGTTGCTGTGACGACCCCTTCACTAGGTGTTCTCTTTTTGGCTGCTGGTTCTTCTTTTGTTTTACAGGATCCTGGTCAGGACAGACTCATCAGCCTGATGCACCCTGCGTGGTTCAGCATAAAACTCACCACTGGAGATCCCCTCTCTTTCCTCTACCATTACAGGCAGTTTTTGTTTTCCACTTGTGTCCCGTACTGATTTCTGACTTTTCATTCTTTATTTTTGTAAATAATGCTTGCAACTCATAAAACATGTCTTCCATCTTTGCTGATTCAACTGAATACCCCTCGAAATCAATGAAACGAGGTGGTGGAAACACTACCGCTTTTGTCCACAGGGGTCGCCAGAGTCAACAAAACATGAAAGTTCTTTGTTGCTGCTTTAAATATCCGAAACTGTTGTAAAGAGAGCGTTGTGTGCTCATGCAGGACCAGGAGCATGTTTTCAGGGCCTTTAACAAACAATAAAGAAGTCAGTAAAGAGAGCAGCGTTTAAAATATTGTGCCATTTTTATTTTTGTGTAAAAATCACACAGCTGCTAGTTGACTCTGCAGAGATACAGTACATCCATGCAGTTAAACATCTAGGATCCCACAGCCAAGAGAGAAGGAATTAAATAGAATATTCTTTCGCTGTTAGTCAGCAATTAATGCAAATTTACATATGAGTCCAAAAGTGTGTATCATATACAATATACAACACAGATCTGGGAGCAAATAGCATTCAAAATCCCATCAAAGACTTCGTTAACGACTGATTGCTTCTGCCTGCCTGGATTGCCTTTTGGGTTTAGGGATGGAGGAGAGCTATTGTGCTAGCAAACATAAATCAATCCCACATGAAGGTTTTTAATAGGGTTTTAAATGGTATTAGTTCCAGGTCTGGAAACAATATAACACACTCACGCACGCACCCACGCACACGCACACACACACACACACACACACACACCAAGTACATCATCATCCTCAACAGCAGAAAAAAGAAGGCGAGCCGTGATACAACAAGGAGGAGAGGTCAGTCAGCCACCGTGGAAACCTGAACGCCAGTTGGGGAGTAAGGCTTAAGAAGAACATTCTTCGCAAACACACAGGAAGCTCCAGGGACAAAACATTTATAAAAAATTAAAACAAACAAACAAGACAGGATATTTTAGGGTAGTGGCACAAAAACCAGTTTCCAGGTTGTACGGAAAAAAATTAAACTTGAGTGGTTCATTATTTTTTCTTCTTAAAGCAACTTCTTTCTTTCTTTTTTTTTTTTTTTTTAAATACAACAACATGCAGGTTAAAAGAAAGCAAAGAGGGACGTAACAAATAAAAAATACAAAAGAAATAAGGAGGGGGGATGCGGGGGCGGTGTTTAAGTTCAAAGTGCAGTTGGGTCATTCAGGTCTCCCGTTCTGTTGACTGGTCTCCGTCTGTAGTCCTGTTAAGCTTCATCTACAACCAGCAAGGGTCGTATCTTGCACATTTAGGGTGGAAGTGCCCTAAAAAAACACTGATCTGGAGTTTACTTCCCTCTGGATCCGGGAGCAAAGGGGGGGGAAGCGAACTGCTCGTCAGTACCAAAAAGAAAAAGGCAAAATGAATCACAAACATACAGTAGATGGTGTATTGGAAGATCTAAGATACAAAAACTGCTCACACAGTTGCTACTATCATAGTACAAACAGCTAAGCATAGTTGGTCTGTGAAGATGTATCGCCCGTACTTGCATAGTGCCGACTGCCCGATTGGAGAACAGCTAAATTTCTTAATCAATATCGACTCTTATCTGCACCGTCAGATCGGATCTGTGCACGTGTGTTTGCTGACCGGAAAATCACAGGAACACTTCTCTCCCTGATCAGCAACACACTTCTTCATGAATGCCGCCTCCTGCAGTCAAGCAGCTGGAATATCTTCAAACCCTTCAAGTGAGTGTCTGTTTCAACTCAACAATTTCGCATCCAGGTGAAGTTAAAGACTAAATAACCGCAGCAACCAAGGATAAGAGGTTTAAAAGAAAGCTGAAATGTTGATGCACAGCTATGTTTGGAAAAAAATCGAGAGAAACCTGTGAGAAAGGAAACAAGGTTGCATTTTCTTTTTTTAAAACACAGCCCAAGTAGAGGTGAGAGGGCAGAGTGCCAGTTCAATCATTTGGCATAAAGTTAAACCATTCAGTCACATCAATCTCCAAACACTGTAACATTAGGGGGGAGACAAAGCACATTCATTCATTCACCGCAGCATGCCATCAACCACACACGCACGTAGACTTCAAGGGGCAGTAAGAAGAGGGAGGTGGGCTGAATGTCACAAGATGAGT